TCCCATAAAATCTTTGTGCCTTGGTTTCCCCACTGGTCCCCAGGTAGCTCCTTTGTCCTGCTGAGGGCAGATGACAAAGGGCCTGTGCTTCTTGAGAGGCACTCAAGAACTGCAAAGTGCCGAGCTCTGCTTGTCACCAGCCTTTTGGCACCCATGGAATCGGGCCCTTGTCCAGCTGCCAAGGCTGTTCAGAGAGCAGGGAGCACAGAGATGGGGGCAGGAGTTGGCCACACCCGCTCCTCTCCCTTCCCCTTCTTTGTCTCCAACCTCAGCAGAGAATAGGGAGGCTGCTCACCTCAAGGGTTCTGGCCCAGCTAGGGCTCAGAGCATGATTTCTGACAAGGGTAATGTGACAGGGCCCAGAGCTGGAGAAGCAGGACCCAAGAGGAGTCTTCTTTAAGGGTGGGGTCATTTTCCCACCTCAAACTGACATGAAGCCAATGCTCAAAGTCTGAGAGATTGGGTGGTAGGGCAGAGTGACAGACCAGTGCTTTGTGAAGTCACAAGGCTCCTGTCATGGCTGGCGAGGAAAAGTGGCCCAGCAGAAGAAGCCCTGGCACAAGAAGAGGCCTCCAGCCTATTGCTCATCCACTTAAGGAGAGGAGCCGGAGGAGTTCAATCACTAATCGACAGGATGCCCAGGCTTCGTTCACAGCAATTGGCCTCTCTGATACTCAGGAGGAATGGACAGCTTTGCACTCAGCCTCCCTAAATGCTTCCTCGAGTCCCAGCATCTCAGTGCTTCATGGACTTCAGGTCCTCTCCCCCTCCCTCCATGACTGCTGCACCACCCCCATCCCTCCCAGATCCTTAACAGGAAAGTCTCACTGGGATACCACAAGGGACACAAATGTCATGGGGGCTACTCAGGCCAACACTCTGGGGGTGGGGACTTTCAGCTGGCACCACCCAGGAGGATCCCATTTCAGTCCCCAGGGCCAGCTGGACCCAGAAAGGGACAGCCTTTGCCCTTCTGGTGGCCAACATGCCACTATCCCAGTCACTTGGCTTGCTGAAGCCTCTGACAAGGACTGACACCCCTGTGGGGATCCAGAGGGAAGCCCCCAATCACTGAGCAGTGCACATGGACAGATGGCCACATTCAGGCAGAAGAGCTACCTGGAGGAGGTGAGGCTGAGGTGTGTCTGGTAAATCGCAGCGCACACTGTAAGAAGAACCATTGCTACTGCTGATTTTAGATGGCATTTCTTACAGCGTGGCTCAGGGACCATCTGCTGAAATTCACAGGGGAACCTGACTAAAACTCAGATTCTTGGGATCCACTCCAGAACTTCTGAAGCAAAATCTCTAGGAGGGTAGAACCCAGGAATCTGCATTTCCAGCAATGCTCAAGATGTACACATAATAGATTAGAAAATCACACAGCCCCAAAGTGTCCCCATGAGGCCATCAACGACAGGCAAGGAAGAATTATTAGCTCCACTGTCTCCTCCTATCTCCCACCTTGCCTTCTTTTCCAATCACAGGTCTTTAACCTCATCTGTTCTTTTCTCTAGCTTCAGTGACCCTCTTGAAGCCATGTCAGGTCTGCAGGCTGGCTTCCTGCATCCGAAGAGACGAATCCTAGCCAGCACCAGGTGCAAGGGCTCCAGCAATTTGGCTCTGAGTTTCCTGGGAGCCAAAGCCAAAAGGCAACCATGATTGGTTATGCAGTTCTCTTAATCCATTCATTTAGCATGTATGTGCTCAGTATGTACCAGGCACTGGACTAGGCCTTGCCTTACAAAGAAGTCAAGGTACAGATACAGTCCCTCCCTACCTCTGAGTTCCTCAGGAAAAAGCAAGCTTTGCTTACATTTAAACTTCAATAGAAATTTCTTTATATGGGGCATACAAAAGTGAGAAAATAACCACACATACACATACACACACATCTATTGAGTGCCGTCACAGATTTCATAATACTGTTTCTGGTAACATTCCTTAGCAAGGCCAAGGGCATTACCTCAATGTTCATCTAAGTGAAAGCAACTGGAATCCAGATAAATGGTCCAAACACAGAATTTTCTTGAGTCTAATTGTTCCAGAGAGAAATCCTAAACTACGTAGAAACAGTGAAAAGCCCATTTGCCCTTCAACTGTAGCAATATGAGAAAAATGCTTTGAACATAAGTGAAGAAAGCAGGATATAAAATTTTATGCTCCACGAGGTGAAAATCTGTATGCATATGAATAAAGATAAGAAGGGAATATGAAGATTTAAAAATAAGAAAAAAGACATAAGGGCTCAGGCTCCTTGAGGGGGGTGCTCTTAAATCTTAAAATAACGACTTATCATTTCCATCACCTGGCCCACCAGTGCCTGCATCCAAGCCTATTTTAAATGCCTCCTTCGGCCAAGCAGAGCTCAGCTTGGAACCACAAGCCCCAGCTGCACACCTATTGCTGTTCTGAAGCAAATAGTGACGTTATGTGACTTCCAGTGACTGTAGCCAGGCCTGCAGACAAAGACTGCTTGATGTACATCTGTGTAAATGAAAGGAACATTCTACTTGGCAACTGACTACCAGGTGGACCTGGGAGGCCACCACTCCAAGAACAACAGACCATGGCAAGAGTTCCTGCCCTGCTCTGACCCCTGCCCCCAAAGACCAGGTGCTCCCTCACCACTGAGGCCAACGAGAAGATGCGCTATATATGCGTTACCTTTGCAGCAGGGAGACTCAGCACACCCAGCAAGCCCTTCAGACCCTTCAGGGGTGACCCTGGGGGGCCCATTACATTCCCAGACACAGAAATCCAACACCTGTGGAGCCCTAGACAGACAGACAGTGGCAAGTGAAACCCAGCCCCAGCTGCTGCACCTTTATAAAATATACAGCGTAAACTGAGAGGGTGCAAGGAAGCCACAGCCTGACTCCCTAACACCATGGGCACCAGTCGAGTGGGGATCCATGCCCAGCCCTTTCCAGGAGTTCAAACCCTTCTCTCCCCTCCCCACAAGGCCCATTCCTACAACCCAGCATTCCCCAGGCTCTCTCAAGCTCTACAACACCTTCCCACACTCCCACCTCCACACAATACTTGCATGTACACATTCGTGACCCCTCTCCTGTGCACCTGTGCCTATCAGCCAGGACCAAGCCCCCATCATAAAATAGCCTAGAACCCTAGTCACACAACAAAGCCCCAGTCTTGGTACAATCATCTCAAAGGAGGGAGAATTACTGTCGGAAACCTGTGACCCTACACAAGAACCCTCTACTTAAAGGTGAAAATCAAAGGAAATCAAACCAAATGTCTTTTGGGCAGAGGAAGGAAGGCACTGGTTGGGAAGGAAGGGGCAAAACAGATAGAAGGTAAGGAAGGAGAAGGACGTCCTCATGCTGGTTAGGGAAGTTTAGGTGGGGAGTGAAGGAATAAGAGAAATGAAAGCCCAGGGCAGGTAGTTTGACAAGTTCACCACACTGGCGAGCCACGCATCCCAGAATTCAGTCCCCAACTATCTCTCCCATCCTCACTCCAGGTCAGAGGAAAGTAGTGAGATGAGAAAAGCAAAACATTGCATCATTAACTCAGACACCTGTCCCATTTCTGACGTATCAGGGTTATGCTTGTGGGCACAGGGCTGTATCCATTCTCCACCCATCACCCCTGCCCAAGGATGTCCACTAGGGAGCTCAGCCCACATCAGCATCCCCTACCTCAGAGTAGAGGACATTTGACCACCCACATATCTCTATGGCAACCACGGCTTCAGATGGAAGGTACCAAGGGAGAAAGAAAAGAAACAAATAAGTTCATAGCCAAGAGCAAGAGACAAGGGCTAGGTGGAGAAATAGCACAGCAGACACTCTCCCAGACAGGTGGTGGACATAGCCATGCTCCACAGGTCCTGCACAACGACCACAGGACAGAAGTTTACTGTTACTACTTGTGGAATTTTATAGCTTCTTCCAGAGCTTGGCGACATCTACTATCATCCCCAACCAGAGCAGTCTGTGTCATTGCTGGCTACAGCCCACGTATTCCCCAGGGCATTTACCCTGGCTCCTAATATATTTATGATGTCCCACTGTCCAGCCTTAATTCCTGTTTCTGAACCTCATAACCTTTGTCCCTGAGCTGCACCCTGCAGCCCTCTAGGACCTGCCCTATCCACATACCTCACCAGACCTGTTCACTATGCACTTCACACGGTACTAGGTCTACACCTATCAGATGAGGTGAGTTTGGCAAGCACCCAAAGTGATGTTCAGGGAGTGTACTTTCTAGGTGTGAAAGATGGGATGTGACCCTTCCAGCTTCACAAATCAGGCTCCAAGGCCTGGACCTTCTACGCTCCTCAGACCTAGAATGGGGCTGTTACCACGAAACAGCCTAAGACATTGGGGTTTCCAGACCATGAGGCCTTACCCTCCACCTAGGACAGATTGCATCTGCTGCCACACCACCAACTTTGTAATCTGATCAAAAAAAGCAATCAAGTTCATCTGGCAGAATTTGTTCCCGAGAAGCCCTCGCCAGTAGCAGCCTCCCCTGATGTTTACAGATTTTCTTCCCTTGGGAGTCTGTTCCACCGCCTGGTGGACAGGGGGAGGCTGAATATGTCAGAGCTGCTCACTTACTGCATTTCCATCCTAAATCATCACCCAGGCCTAGGGATTAGGGTAGGCCTGGTGTGGCCACCACCACCATGAGACACAGGCTCCAAATTGGCCCAAGAGCTAAATCACTCTGTGCCACTCAACATCCTCCATATCCTGTACCTTCCTACTAATGACCAAATTCCTTTGAGAATTTGAGGACCACTCATTCTTGCCACCACCTCCATCTTTTACAGGCCAGTCATTTTTTTCCCATTTGAGCACTTCCAGTTCCTAACATCACTCCTTGTCTGGCTCCAAAATCCACCCATCCTGAAATGCCAACTCCTCTTCAGGGGCTAAACCACAGAGTCTCCAACTCCTGGACCATCTTCCAATGAAGCCAAGGCCCTCAGAGACACCCCCATGGCGGCACCAAGGCAGAACACTCACCCCGGGCAGACAACTTCTTGGTATTGATGATTTTTGCAGCATACTCTTGCGTGGAGGTTTTCTTCACACACCTGCGGACCACAGAGAAAGCACCCCTGGAGGAAAAAGGGGGAAAGAACTGGGATACACAGAAGGGCAAAGTGACACAGACACACACTGCATGCTGTCCGAGGGCAATGATGCTTCTAACCCTACTCCTTAAGTCAAAACGAACCCCTCCCCGACGCCAACCCCCAGGGACCACCCATCCTCTGACTGAGGCAGAAAGATATGGCTACTACATGACCCTGAACAGACTTGGGGCAAAAGGTAGCCCCACTGCCACCCTCTCATCTAGTCCCTGGGAAAAGCAATGGCCAAGCCGAGCATCAGGCTGCACACAGCTGGTGGACGAGGCTTTAAAACACACACCTGCTGCATCTCAGTGATAGCCCTGCAGACTGGTCAAGAGACCAGGAGCGAGGAACGGAGACCCTGCCCTTCCTCAGCTGGAAGAGATGAGGCTAGGGACCGAAGGACTAGAAAGAGGGTCTAACTCCTCCTCACCCCAGCCCCCAAATATCCCTCAACCATGAGGGAAGGTGAGGCTCAAAGCCCCCACAACGGCCTTCAACCAATTGCATCCCGGCTCAAGTGACATCAGAGGAGAGCATACAGTTGTGGGGCTCACGCACCGATATCTCCCTTTTTCTGGACTATTTTCCTCTAGACCCCCAGTTCTTCCCCCCTCCCCCCCACTAAGAACTAGCGCTCTCCAGCTTCGGAAGCGTCTAGGAGGTGGGCAGGGCGGGGGCTGCAGTGGCCAGGCAGGCCGGGGCTGCTGCGGCGGCCAGCTCAGTGCGGAGGGGAGGGGGATGCTGCGGCAGCGGCGCGCGGCTCCCGGGACCACTGCAGGGATGGGGGGATGGGGCGGGGGTGCTGCGGTACTGCCCAGCAGCGGGGCCCGGATCCCGGCAGCCGCACGGGTGGGGGGCGGGGCCGGCCCAACGTCCCCCCACACCCCGCACCGCAGCGAGGTTGGAGTCATAGGGCTGGGGAGGGTCTCGAGTGTCAGGTGGGTGGGACATGGGGACAGGGTGCAGAGTGAGCTCCAGAGCAGGTGGGGAGGGGTAGCCAGCCGGTGGCGACTGGAGGGGGGCTCCCTGAAGGGTGCAGGAGGGGCGGGGCTGGAGGGCACCCGGGAGCAGTCCGGGGGCTGCAGTCTCCGCGGCAGCGCGGGATGCAGCAAGCTGGGCAGCTGCTGCATGGCGCGGCTCGGGCTTCTGGGCAGGGAGCTGGGGGTGAGGACGCCCCCGAGGCGGCAGGCGGGAAAGGCTGGGGGTGGGGCGGCCGAGGGGGCGCTGCAGCGGCCGGTGCAGGGCCGGGGGGCGGGGCGAGGAGCCGCATAGCGCCCAGGCGGCGGGGGGCCGGTTGGGGGGCCGCGGCGGGCGGGCCGTACTTGCCGAGCTCCTCGAAGAGCTGGTAGTCGTCGGTGAAGCGGGTGCAGGTGGCGGTGGTGGCCATGCTGGCAGGCGGGCGGACGCGGCGGTGCAGCCCGCGCCAACGTCGGTGCACAGTCACCGCCGCCCGGCCGAGGGAGCAAGAGGAGGAGATGGGGCTGAGCCCGTCAGCACCGCGAGACTTTACCGGGGAGAGCGAGGAGGG